AAGAAAAAAAAAACTATACAATTATAACGTAAATGTCCTTTTTTTTTTTAACGATTTGTCACTTGCGTATTTAGCTCTTGAAAAATAATAATAACATTTTAGGTAATATATGATTTGAATATAATATTTACATATATATTATCCAATTTTATAGATAATATTATACCATCGTCTGACGTTTGCAATATTTCTTGGCTTTTTATTTTGATTTGATTAAATTTAGATTATTTTTTTCGTGCTATAAAACCCCAAAGTCTATCCCTTTTCTTTTCATTTTCAATACTCATATATTCTCCTTCAATATGACTCTCTCATTCGTCAACATCTTTTTCTTGCTAGTGTTATTGATCGCTCCCCTTGACCTTTCGTTTGCGAAAAAATGTGTTTTTTCTCAAAAATACGAGGTGCATGTTATCAACAAACTTCCTGCTAATTCTCCGAAATTACGACTTCATTGCGCGTCGAAAGATACAGAAATTGGAGATCAAATTCTTCCTATAAATGGAGATTTAAATTGGTCGTTTTGCGAGTCGTTTCTCGATACTACTTTATATTTTTGTCACTTTTGGTGGGGTCCAAAAGACAAGTCTTTTGATGTGTTTGATGATCCAACTTATTGTGTCAAAAATGGTAAAAATCCAAATGTTCTAAAATATTGTAAATGGGAAGTGAGAGAAGATGGTTTTTATTTGGAACAATATAATGCTAGAACAAGTACTTATTATATGGAGAAGTTAGAACAATGGTAGGGAATATAATTTTTTAAATTTGTGTTACTGTTTAAATAAAGTTTAATGAATTTTTTAGTTAATTTCTATCTCATTTATCTTTTTTTTTGTTTATATTATTTAGTGATAGATAAGTTTTTCCATCTCTTTGATATGTTATATATATAGTCATCGACTGGATATTACTTGATAGCAATCGTCTTCAAACAAGACGTGAATCGAAGATATCAATCTACATTATTATTATGTTAAATTTTATAAATCATTTTGCCTAAAAGTTTGATAGATTAATCATTTTGTTTTAACGATTAATCTAATTTAATAGACTCATCCATGGAGTGGTAATAATAGTATTTTTGGCTAATTTTGTGAAAAGTCAAAAATAGTTTCTTTTTTTTAGTTGGTTGGTAGCAAAAGTTACTTTTCTTGAAAAATTAAGTTTTACCACATTGATTTATTAATAGTAACTTGAAAACGGTTATCAAATATTTTCGACTTATATAAAAGATTATAAAATTTGTAGTAACTTAAAAACTACAAACAAAATTGCTTCTAAAATAACTTAACTAAACACAAATTGCTAATTACTCTCTTGAAACACTTTCTCTTCAATCTTCTCACAATAATTTACTATAATGTACGAGGCATTTAAAATTGGTGACTCAAATTCATAATTTTCAAATTAAAACAAAAAAAAATATTTATCACTCAAACAACTATATTTTATCAAAATTTTACAATATTTCATATAAGTCAAAAATATAAATAGATATGGAGAGAAAAAAAAAAAGGCAAAAGACATTAAATGCTAATTAAGTGCTTTTGAAAAAGATACGAAGTAGTTGCAACCCCAAATCATGATTTTGTAAGAGTATGACAACTCAATTATTTATTACTTTTCTCCGATTAACAAAGAATGATCTAGTTTGATTTGGCACGAAGTTTAAGGGTATAAAGAAGATTTTTATATTTTATGGTTTTAAACATGCCACACGGAAAGTTTGATATAAATGGTTGGATCAAATCAAACTAATTACACTAATGTTTTTTTTTCCTTATATAAATCACCATAATCCCCCTCTCCCCTTTCATTTTCAATATAATTATCTTTTCTCCCGTATGGCTTTCTCCTTCATCAACATCTTATTTTTGTGGTTATTGGTTACTCCGCTTAACTTTTCATTAGCGAAAAAATGTTTTTTTACGAAAAAATATGAGGTACATGTTATCAACAAACTTCCTCCTAATAGTCCACCATTACAAGTTCATTGTGCGTCGAAGGATCAAGAACTTGGAAACATAATTCTTCCCATCGATGAAGATTTTAATTGGTCGTTTTGCGAGAAAACTTTTACTGATATTTTATACTTTTGTCATTTTTGGTGGGATTCGAAAGACAGGTCTTTTGCGGTGTATGATGACCCAATTTATTGTGTCCATCATGGACCAAATCTAAATATACTACAGTATTGTAAATGGGAGGTGAGGGAAGATGGTTTTTATTTGGAACAATATGATGCTAGTAATGAAACATATTACATGTATCGTATTAATATGTGGTATTAGAGAATATAATGTTTTGTTTGTGATCTTGTTAATTATATTAAGTGAAAGGAAATAAGATGGAAATTTCACTTGAGACTTTCTTTCTTATTTATAATATATATTCTTGTTTTTTTAATATTAGAAAAAAATCATTTTTTTTACTTTGTTATAGTCCTCGATTAAAAATTTGACTTATTTATATCTTGCTGTTATAATTTTAGCTTGAATTTGTCACTAAATCATTGACAAACCAACATTATAGCTAGACTAACATGTCCAAATTAATCATTGTGAATGGCTTATTTTTAACAAAAATAAAAAATAAAAAAAATTGGCGTGTAACTATTGATAATATTAAGTAAATTTAACCAAATTAAAATAAACAATTTAATTAAAGAGAAATTAGTCAAAACACATTTAATGGTAATTCAATGCTTTTGAAAAGATACAATTAACAGTTGCAATTTAAATCAAGATTTTGATCCTAATCAATGGATAACTTAGTGTGAATTTGAGATTCAATTTAATTAAGATTTGACATAATTATAGAATAAAAAATATTGCAATAATGTGTTTATTTTTTGTGTTAATAACTTTAAGGGTATTTTAGTCATTTTAAGGAAAAATAGTCATCATTTGTATTTTTTTATTGAGTACATCGATGATTTATTTTCAGTTTCAAACACTCTAATCGGAAATATAATTATTTAGGAAGAAGTTTCATCATATGTTTGATCATAATATTTTTAAAAAATATTTGATTTTTTTATAGAAAAATATAATTTTTATCTATAAGCTATAAAAAATAATACTCATAAGTTTGTATTATCATTTAATAATAAACATATTTCGTCATAAAATTAAACTAAAAGTTATAAGCTCTTACATGCATATAAACAATTTTCAAATTTTATTTTGACAAATTCTATGAAACAATATCATTACATACTTGAGAATCAAATAACAACAAACTCTTTATAAATAAAAATAAATTACATAAATTTAGTGAGTCTGTTTATGGTGTGTTTCTCAAACTTGTCAAGTTGGGATTAATAAATGATGAACTATTTTTATATATAAAAAAAAAGTTTAGGATAAATTCTAAATTTGTAAAAGAATTCCTAAAGATAGGATTTGTCCCCAAAACTTAATTTTTTCTAGTTTTTGGGAGAAATATTTTACCAAAATTATCTACAAAAATGACAATTTTGTATGATTAACAGTTTTTGCCAAATTGTTCTTTTTCCCCAAAAACTACTACTACCTTTTAAGGGGAAACAGGTCATAAATTCATAAATTCAACCCCTGCACTTAAAACCCCCTTTTAATATTTCTACCTTTTTTTTTAGTAAATAAACTGATTTTATTTATTATCAACTGAGAATTAATACAAAGAAAAAAAATATATCAATTGTACTTACTAGCGGGGCGGACCCACCATTACCTAATCGTTGAAAAATTATAACGTATAGAGAAGTCAAATTATAATTTGATAAATATATATATACTTAACACCTTTTAATGCAAGTAAAAAGTTGGGAAAAAGGTTCAAATATGTCATTAAACTTTTAGAAAAGACTCATTTATTCTATCAGTTAAAAATTTAGCTCATTGATGCCATTATTTTTTAACAATTGTTCCGCAAAATCATTTTTGACACGTGACCAATTATAATTCGGACTCGTCATCAATTTTTTTAATAAAAAAATCAAAAAAATAATTCAATTTTTATTCAGAATTTTGATTTTTCATTAAAAAAATTGATGATATGGCCCAACTATAATTCGACCATGTCATCAATTTATTTAATAAAAAAAATAATTCAATTTTTTTTCAGAATTATAATTTTTTAAAATAAAAAATTGATGATGTGGCCGAATTATAATTGACAACGTGTCAAAATGATTTTGCAAAATCACCATTAAAAAATAATGACATGAATAAGTCTTTTCTTTAACAGTAATGACATAAATGAGCCAAACTTTTAACTGATAACATAAATGAGCCTTTTCTGAAAATTTGATGGCATATTTGAGTCTTTTCTCTCAAAAGTTTTGTCTAGTGATTAAGGCGTTGTAGAAATTTCTTAAAGTTGTGTATTCTTATCCTATGAACCTCATAATTATTTTTTTACTACAACTATTGACACACATTAATGACATCACAATACTTATAATTACGGGTGTAAAAAATGAGTCAAACTATGGGTGACCCGTCCAACCCATCCAAAATTTTAAGGGGTGAACTCAAGATAATTTGAATTGAGTTACATCTCAATTCATTCAAGTCTTAACCCATTTTATGAGAATTGAGCCCAATTTAATCTCTAATTTCAACATATTTTAAGACTTTTTATTGTATTGATGTAATGTATATTCCTACTTCCTATATTAAATGTTTGAATTAGTATCTATTTTATATCTTTTAGAAATTATCTATTCATTTATAACTTTTTTAAAAGAATCTTCTTGTGTTGAAATTCAAACAGTGGTAATAAAACTTAACTATATAATAAAATTTTTCAGATTAAGCGAATCAAATTAGGCAGGTCAAAGACCCAATCCGTTTTTGAGTCAATTTGAGCCCAAAGTAAACTTGGACGGGTCAGAATCCAATCCAATTCTATTTCAACTGAACCCGTCCATTTGACACCCCTACCCTACTTATAACTATATAAGCCTCCTCTCCTCTTCAATTCATTTGCAATACTTAGCTTCTCCCAAATATAATATGACTCTTTATTTCAACATCTTTTTTTTCTTGTTATTGATCACTCCTAATCTTGACCTTTCGCTAGCGGAAAATTGCTTTATTTTACCAAGTTATGAGGTACATATTATCAACAAACTTCCTACTAATACCTCACAATTGCAAGTTCATTGCACGTCAAAGGATGACGAAACTAGAAATGCATATCTTAACATAGATGAAGACTTACATTGGTCATTTTGCGAGTCATTTTTTGGTAATACTTCGTTTTTTTGTAACTTTTGGTGGGGTTCAATGAATAAGTCTATTACAGTGTTTGATGACCCAGGCACTTGTGTTCATAGTGGTCAGTATACAAATTATCATTACTCTTGCAAATGGGAAGTAAGACAAGATGGTTTTTATTTGGAGATGTTTAATTATAAGAATATGACATATTTTATGGATCACATTAGTGATTGGTCTTAGGGAATTAATATAATATGTTCCATTGATGTTTTGTATATTTAAATTTGGAAGGAAATATATTATCATGGAATTTTAGTGTGGCTTACATTCTTATTTATCTGTCTTTTTAATTTTGAAAACAAAATAAAATTCTAGATTAGCTTTTGTATTTTGTGGAAATAATATAATGAGATTAAAAATAAATAAATAAAGGTTAGTAGGACCAGAAGACTTATTTACTTGAGCCATGTCGAACTATTGACATATCGAGTCTTTTATTTATATCGATAATTAAATGAATCAAATAAGCGCCTTATATAAAGGTTAGAGAAGGACATAGCTAATTGATAAATCTCTCACAAAATTTAGATATGTGGTTAAATAAAACTATGAAATAAGTTAAATGAAAGTAATTATGTATTTTCCTAACTTATAAAGTTTAGATTTTTATTTTATTTTATAAAACACCAAAGTTTCCTCCCCTTTTTCATTTTCAATACTCATTTCATTTTTTTTCCAAATAAAGATTTAGTTGACTTGACTATATTCCACTTTCTTTCCTTTTTTTTTTTTTTGGTTATATTCAATGGTAAGGTAATTCAAAATCTTTTGTATACATATATATATATATAATTGTAAAACATATCATAACCAAAGAACCCCTTTCTACCCTTTAATTCATTTTCAATACTTAGCTTCTCTATCCCAATATGGCTCTTTCCTTCATCAAAATCTTTTTCTTGTTGTTATTAATCACTCCTAATCTTGACCTTTCACTAGCGAAAAAATGCTCATTTTTTACACCAAAGTACGAGATACATGTTATCAACAAACTTCGAATTAATAACCCACAATTGAGAGTTCATTGCGCGTCAAAGGACGATGAAATTGCAGACAAGTATGTTGCCATAGATGAAGACTTACATTGGTCGTTTTGCGAGTCATTTGTCCTTAAGACTTTATATTTTTGTCACTTTTGGTGGGGTCCAAAGAATACATCTATTACTGTATTTGATGATATCACCTTTTGTATACACCATGGAAAATATGAAAATCTTCTAAGATATTGTAAATGGGAAGTAAGAGAAGATGGTTTTTATTTGGAACAATATAATACTACTGCTGGGAATAAGACATATTTTATGGATCATGAAAGTGATTGGTCTTAGGAAATATAAAATGTCCCATTGATGTTTTGTGTATTTAAAGTTGGAAGCAAATATATTATGATGAAATTTTGTCCTTTTAATTTTGGAATTTGCCCTAGTTCTTCTATAGTTATTTTTCAATGGTCATCAAAATTAATTTCAGTTCAATTCAACACCTTTAGCCTATATTTTTGAGAGAAAAAATTGTTAGATAATTCACACAATAAGTTCATTGATCGGACGCTACAGAGGTGTATTCAGGATTTTGAGATGATGGGTGCACTGTTATATAAAGGTTGATTTATGATATATATTTGATCGTTTCGATATTTAGATTTTTACTATTAAAAAAACGTTAAAATTTTAAAATCGTTAGTCTAAATTAATTCGTATATACCAATTACCACTTACAGAAATGTTATCTAATTTTAGAAAGAAAAAAGAAACAACATAAATATAAAATTATTCCCTCTCCCTTTTCATTTTCAATACTTATCTTTTCCTTTTCTACCTTTCCAAATCAATATATTTTGATCATGTTCAAACTCATTTCTTTTTCCAAATAAAGATTTGTTTGACTTGACTAAGAGCCTGTTTGGCTCAGCTTAAAAGCTGGTCATACTGACTTAAAAGCTGATTTTTGACTTATTTAGCTGTTTGACAATACTCAAAATAACTTATTTTAAGCTAAAAGTTAAAAGTTGGGATACGGGTGCTTTTTATTTTTTAGCTTATAAGCTGTTTTAAGTTGACCACATTTTTATCTTTTTGCCCTTAATATTTTCATATAATCTCCAAATTACCCACATAACCCTAACATCTCTTTCTTTCATTTTTCCATTTTCACGTTTGACACAACAACTTCAGCACTTTTATCCAAATGCATAACTGCTTATTTTAAAAATAAGTTTCAGCACTTTTAAAAGTACTTTTTTAAAGTTGCTTTTAATAAGCCCATCCAAATGGACCCTAAAATCATTTTTTTTAAAAAAATAAAATCATAACCCTTCTCTCCCCTTCACAAAATCACATACTTCATTACAATAATCATTAAGGTAAAAGATTTAACAATTTTCACTCAAAGTAAAACAAATTAAAATTAAGGTAAAAGACATTTAATGGTGTAATTCAATGCTTTTGAAAAGATATAAATATATAGTTGAATCCCAAATCAAGCTTTTGTAAGAGTTGACTAAACTCGATTATTTTTTTCTCTATAAAATAAAGTAAAATCATAAGCATCAATTTAATTTTCAAAATGACTCTCCTCTCGATCAATATTTTCTTAATATTATTACTATTGATAACTCCCCTTAACCTTTCAACAACAAAAGCATGTTTCCTTACTAGAAGGTTCGAGGTACATGTTATCAACAATCTCCCTTTCAACTCCTCAAATCTTAAAATTCATTGTGCTTCTGGTGACGATGATCTTGGTGATCATTATCTTTCCGTTAATCAAGAATTTAAGTGGTCATTTTGTCAAGCACTTGCATGGACTACATTATTCTTTTGTCATTTTTGGTGGAATTCAAAGACTAAATCCTTTAATGTGTTTGATGACCCAGTACATTGTGTTGAAGATGGATTACTTCCAAAGGTTACAACACAATGTGCATGGGTGGTGAAGTTAGATGGTTTTTATTTAGGGACTTATGTAGGCCCCGGAAAAGTTACAGATATGTATCGTTATTCTGAGTGGTAGTCTTGTGTATGTGTATTTTAATGGTAATTACAGATGAATCTCTATGAAAAATAGTTGTGGACGATCTGATAAAAATGATGCTCGATCTAGCTTTGAACTCCGTGTAGGAGAAAAGAAGGTTTAACTATAGCATTTTTTACTCTTTTTTTTTTCAATTGATGTTCAACTAAATCCAATTTACGCAACATAGGATCCATTTCTTGAAAGTGTTGGTACGAAAACAAAATGATTTTCTAAAAAATATTTTTTTTGAAAGTAAATAGGTCTCTTACTTATTTTAAGTGCTTGATAAGTAAATAAGAAAGCGTTAATTTAAAAATATTTATATTTTATTCAGCAAAACACTATAGAGACGGAACGCAATGTGGAATAGGGTGACAGGGTGGTTGGGATGGTCAAGGGGATTAAATAGATGGAAATTTAGGAGACAATAAACGTGGAACGCCACCAGGTGTACAAAAACAACCAAATGTAACAAAATGTGAAAAAAAATTCCAACAAAATGTAGTTTCATAAAAATAATTAGATTATTTACTTATCTTTCTAATATGAACTCGATCCCACAAAGTTTAAATGCATAGTTAAAACTTTGAAACAAGTCAATTGTATATATTATTATACCTAAGATGAAAAAGCTAAAAAATATTTAATGATTTCAAACTTACTTCAAATTGTCATAGTCCAAGTCAAAAAATTATATTTGACTAAATTAAATTAAATTCTTTTTGTTTTTTATTTATAAAATTCCAAAACTCTCATACCTTTTCAATACTCATTCACTAAAAATGTTGATCAACATTTTTTTCTTTTTGCTTATCACTCCACTCAACCTTTCAATAGCAAAACATTGTCCATTTGGTTCGAGATACACGGTATATGTTACCAACAAACTTCCTTTCGACTCTTCAAAATTGTCATTTCATTGTGCTTCAAAAAATGATGATCTCGGATATCACGATCTTGCTATAAATCAAGTGTTTAATTGGTCGTTTTGCGAGGCAATTTTCAGTAGAACTTTATTCTTTTGTCATTTTTGGTGGGGTTCAAAAGAGAAAGCATTCGATGTGTTTAACGATCCATATACATGTGTTAAAGGTACAGGAAATCCAAATATTTTAACTAATTGTAAATGGGAGGCAAGGGCAGATGGTTTTTATTTGGAATTGTTTAATAGTACAAGTGAGACATATTATATGTATCATTATTTAGAGTGGTCTTAGGGAATTAATATGTTTGTGTCATATTTTAATTTAGATAAAATGAGAAGTAAAAAAAAAAAAGAATTCCAAAGTGTATTATTTCTCAATTTCTTATCTTTTTACTCTCAATTTTTTCCTTTATGTGGGAACATTATAATGTCTTCTATTTATTTTTTTCTAAATAAGAATTATTTTTACGACGTAAAATCATATATTAACACCTCGATACATGGAGGGATCCATCGATATATGCGAGGCTTTTTTTATTCATAATTAATGGTGTTCGACATTTACTATAATGCACGGGAGGACTTGTATACTTCCTTCGGATAAAAAAAGGGCAAGTGCATAAATCTTCAATTTTAGTACTCCAATTTAGTTTAAGGGACAATTATAGTGTGTGTATATATTATGGTATTTTGTGATTCGCAATTTTCGAAATAACATAGCCGATTTTTTTCATGAACATCCATTAAGACATTAGCAATGTATCTAGTTCGTCCCGCGAGAAAAACAGACATATTTTTAAGTTCAAACGAGTGGGAAAATAGGTAAACACACATTGTATCAATTTGGTATGCTATAGTCCAAGAATTTTTTTGTGATCCGGAATTTCCAAAACGAAATGGCCAAAATTTTTATGGACGTCCGTTAAGACGTTAGCAATATACCTAAATGCATCCCACGGGGAAAACATATACATTTTCAAGTTTAAACGAGCCCCAAAGTAGGTAAATCCAGATTTTGTCAATTTTTGTGTGCTATAGTCCATGGATTTTTATTGATCCAGAATCCTCGAAATAAAATGATCAAAAATTTTAGTGGACATCCGTTAGACCGTTAGCAATGTACACATTTCGTCCCACATGGAAAAAAAACGCATTTTCAAGTTCAAACAAGCTCTAAAGCAGGTATGCGTAGATTTTGTCGATTTTCGTCTGCTATAGTTCATGAATTTTTTATGATCCAGAATTCTCAAAATGAAATGATCAAATTTTTTCATGGGCGCCCGTTAAGACGTTAGCAATGTACCCAGTTCGTCTCGCAGGGAAAATAGACGCATTTTCAAGTTTAAACGAGCCCAAACCATGTAAATCAGGAATTTTGTCAATTTTTGTGTGCTATATAATCTAGGAATTTTTAGTGATTCAGAATTCATAAAATGAAATGTCCAAAATTTTTCATGGATGTTCATTAAGAGGTTAGCAATGTACTTAGTTCGTCTCGATGGGAAAATTAGTGTATTTTCAAGTTCAAACGAGCGAAAAAATAGGTAAATGCAGATTTTGCTAATTTCATGTGCTATAGTTAATGAATTTTTTGTGATCTGGAATTCTCGAAATGAAAGAGTTGTGATTTTTCATGGACGCCCGTTAAGACGTTAGCAATGTATCCAATTCGTCTCACAGGAAAAACACACATTTTCAAGTTCAAATGAGTCCCAAAACAGTTAAACACAAATTTTACCGATTTAGGTAAATTGCTACATAATTTAGTCATTTGTTAATTTTTTATTTTGGTTGGTCTAAATTTTGCCCAATTCACTCATTTGACATTATTTTGTGTTTGTAAAACTTTAACAAATAAATGCATTTGTGATATAAAAGGAAACATTATCCTAAAGATAAAAATGTTTTTTTCAAGGAAAACTGTTTAAAAGCATTTTATTAGGCTTAAGCCAAAACGAAGTTAGGGGCATGTCATCAATTTTGAAATTAAATATAAAAAAAATATAAGATGAATAATAGGTAATTTGTTATCGAATATTATTCCTTTAAAAACTTGAAGATTATTTTTTTCAAAATGTATCCACTTAATTATGTCATGATCTTTATTACGTTCTCTATTCCATATTAACTGAATTGGCGAAATACATATTTATTAAAAAAAACAATCAATGACATAACTTATATTATATTTTTCACTATTATTTTTTGTAAAAGAATGAATATAACTTTACAAATAATGTAATTTATCTCTTACAAAATATTAATAAAAATATATTATAGGAAAATGGCAGATATAGAAAATACTTCAAACGATCCATCAACTTTGAAAAATTCAACTTAATTTGAACAATGAAATTAAAGGATATAATCAAATCAAATCAAAATCAAAATATTGAGGAATTTACTAAAGTAGAATATTTATAATTATTTATTATTATTATTATAGTTGAGGATTTGACTAAATTAGAATATTTAGTATATTATTATACTTATTATATCCATATTTTTTTTATATATAAGTCTAGAACCCTTTTTACTTTATCCATAC